AATCCCATGAGAGAGGCATCTGAAGAAGAGGTACTACATAACAATGTTACTCATCAAAGACCGCATCACCGGCATCGCCGAGGCGGAAGAATAGCCATACTCACTGAAGGAATGACTCAGATAGCTGCGGGTATGAGAGACATAGCAGCTCAGAATATGGCGATGCAGGAACTCCTCATGCAAGCCCAGGGACACCAGAGCTACCAAAGGCCCCAAGGATCTTATTCGGTGCAGGAAATCCCTTTATCTCACTCTCGGGGCTACATGAGTCGGCACACAGAATGCCTTCTCGAAAGAGAGATGAACGCCGAAGCAACATCTTATGTGCAAGGGAGTCATCCATCAGAACCACCCTTGGGGGACAACTTTCCTTAAGAACACGACGACCAAAGGTCGGTAAGCGCCTTCGACCGGATAGGGGAGGATCCTAACAATAGGGTCCGCCCAGCAAGAGGACAGTTCGTTCGGATCGCGAACAAGAGCATGTTCCCCCTCCTCCTCCTAAAAATAGGAGGGATAGGAGAAACCTAGTCGATTGGGGGAGTCGAGGAAAAGCACCTCCACCACCCCAGGACATCCAAGATGATGAAGAGTCAGAGGGGCCCTGTCGATCTTATGAGATTGACGACGATGACGATAACCTCCCTTTCTCAAGGGAGATTCGAAGCTTCCCAATGCCAGCTAACTTCATGTCCCCTAAGATCCCCAAGTATGAGGGAAAGGGGGATCCGGAGAAGCACCTCACAAAGTATATGACACAAATGAGCTTTAGGGGAGCCTCGCCTGCTCTAAAATGCAGAGCCTTCCATTAACACTAGGCGGAGCTGCCGAGGTATGGTACAACAGGCTTCTTCCCTAAGCATCAGAAGTTGGCCAGACTTGAAGAAAGCATTTTTGAACCAGTACCTTTCACGCAGGGAAGGAGAGGCGCCAATTCAACGCCTGCAAGACATGAGGCAGGCCCCTGGAGAGACGCTAAAAAGCTATCTCGCTAGGTTTACAGACGAAATTACTTACTGCGAACATGTTACTGACAGGGAATCCCTTTCAGCAGTGAAAGGTGGGCTCAACATGAACATTTTGTTTTGGAGGGACGTGAGTAGCAAGAATCCCTCCACATACGACGAGCTGGTGGAAATGATGAGAGTGGAAATTGTTAGTGAAGAAATGATTGATCATCGCAATCGTGCCGCGCAGGGACTCCCTCCTCCTCAGAGGCAGGTAGGTCGAGGCCCCGCAGCACACCTTGTCACTCAGCAATGGACCCAAGCAGGGCATACCATAGCTCCCACATCCGGACAGGCCCTAGCTTCCGCCACATTGAATGCAGTGCCGGTGTTGGCATATGATAATGCCCCTGCTGAGGCGAGACCATCTGAAAGAACTGATAACAATAAGAAGAAGAAAAAGAGGCCAAACAAACCCTTGGCAGGAGCAAGGTTTTGTACATTCCATCAACTATACGGACATGACACCAGCGAGTGTCGTGATGCCAATCGGCGCCCTGATCGAAGCAACCCTCACACTTCCAGCAGAAACGAACACCCTCGCAGATCCACCTCCACGAGGAGGGGAGGGAGAGGTCACCAGGAACAATCTCCTCGTAGAAGAGAATTGCGGAACCGAGGCCAATCCAGGTAGGGGAACCAAGCCCCATTTTCGGGAGGCCAGGTCATCAGGAAAATCCATACCATCATTGCGGGACCCCACGTCGGTGGCAACACTAGGAATGCCCAGAGAAATTACACAAGAGAAGCTAAGGATCCCCCGATGATCACTTACATTGTTGACGAATCGAAATCAGCAAACAAGATGGCCCCGATCACCTTCTCCCAAGAAGACTCAGATGGAGTTCACCACCCCCATTGCGATGCTTTGGTTGTAAGAGCCGCAGCAGCCTTTTAGGAGAATGGGCATGGCACCCAACTGTCACCTTGAAAACACGCAACAGTTGTCAAATCATTTGACGTTTGGGTCGCCTCGGATTGAACTCCTCCTCCAATTTTACAAAGTTTGGACGCACCTGACGCGAAGGCCCTATTGGGTCATCGCCTCGGACGCTGCGTTTCTTCCCATGCTTTACAAAGTTTCAGCCATCTCCCCACGCGTCGACCTTTTGGGTCAGCGCACCGGTGGCAGATGAGCTCCTTCTCCAACTTTACAAAGCTTAGACGCACCTGACGCGAAGGCCCTATTGGGTCATCGCCTCGGACGCTGCGTTTTCTCCCATGCTCTACAAAGTTTCAGCCATCTCCCCACGCGTCGACCTTTTGGGTCAGCGCACCGATGGCAGATGAGCTCCTCCTCCAACTTTACAAAGCTTGGACGCACCTGACGCGAAGGCCCTATTGGGTCATCGCCTCGGACGCCGCGTTTCCTCCCATGCTTTACAAAGTTTCAGCCATCTCTCCACGTGTCGACCTTTTGGGTCAGCGCACCGGTGGCAGATGAGCTCTTCCTCCAACTTTGCAAAGTTTGGACGCACCTGACGCGAAGGCCCTATTGGGTCATCGCCTCGGACGCTGCGTTTCCTCCCATATTTTACAAAGTTTCAGCCATCTCCCCACGCGTCGACCTTTTGGGTCAGCGCACCGGTGGCAGATTAGCTCCTCCTCCAACTTTACAAAACTTGGACGCACCTGACGCGAAGGCCCTATTGGGTCATCCCCTCGGACGCAGCGTTTCCTCCCATGTTTTACAAAGTTTCAGCCATCTCCCCACGCGTCGACCTTTTGGGTCAGCGCACCGGTGGCAGATGAGCTCTTCCTCCAATTTTACAAAGCTTGGACGCACCTGACGCGAAGGCCCTATTGGGTCATCGCCTCGGACGCTGCGTTTCCTCCCATGCTTTACAAAGTTTCAACCATCTCCCCATGCGTCGACCTTTTGGGTCAGCGCACCATATTCGCGAACCTTCGGTGCACCTTACGCGACGTCCCATGCTGCTTGACCGCCTCGAGCGTTACGCACAATAACGAAGCTTTGGTACATCTGCATATTATCATAACCTCAATTGCTGTGACGGATCAACCCCCAAAACTCCCATGACTTGCGGTCCGGTCAGGAAAGCAAGTCCACGCATGATATAAATATTCATCCTCGGACTTGGGGGACCACTGTTACGCTCCGATTATATACGCCTCGGATACCGAAGTGTCATCTCACCTCCAAGGTCGAGACCAAGTGGACCCCCCGCAGCACCATTTATTCCGACCTGAAAACGACCCTTCCGAAGCTTCTCCGAAGTGATATAGCGATTCCTACTACTGATCTGTCGAAACATCTCACCTCCGAGGTCGAGATCAAGTGGAACCCGGTTAGAAGATCCGCCGTCAATTTGAGATTTATTCTACACCTAAGGCTTAAATTGATTTAACGTTTCCATGATGCTAGTTGATGTGACTTATCAACTTTACGTCAATTCAACTCAGAGGAAACAAACTGTCCGCCCACTCTACGAACGCGATTGATTGACGCCTATGAGCAGACTCTTCATATCGTCAGATGTATACACGCGTTCCACATCTAACGGTTCATACCACCTATAAATACCCAAGGTTTGGCAAGAAGCAGAGGTAATGAAACTCTTAATATACAGCACTCCATAACAAGTTTATATATTTTCCTCCCCCTTTATTGATCGATTTGTATAGCCCCCGGGTACTGTTCCGATCACCCAAACCTGACTTGACCGTCGGAGTGTATACAGCCGCCACCGCCACCGTTGGTTCCGACCGTGTGTGCCTGACTATTTGTTGATTGTGCACATGGAGGAATACGTGGAGTAGCTTTCAGTTGGCCACGTGGAAGGACCAATTTCCGAGATCAACAGAAATTATTATTCAAATATCGATAGTTAACGAATAGCATATCAAAATCTTCAGAAAATTGGATGAAAGCCAGTTAACTTCCAAATCACTGAAGATTAAATTTGCTTATTCCCATTAATTACAACTCGTCTAACGTCGAACGAATACGGCTCGCCAACGAGGTGAAATAACTACCTGGTATGGTAGAGAACGTGATTGATTGGCGTAATAGGAGCCTGAGTACCATTAGATTTTCCAAATACTAGTAAAAAGCAACAATTAATAGTGAATTTATTATTATTATTTTTTTTTAAATTTTAATTTTTTCATTGAATCTCATCTTAGCATGTAGGTTTTGATAACAATTGTTGAATTTAACGAGGATCATGTTAAGAACAAGAATCACAAAATAATAATTGGTTAAACGAATTCATACACGCAGAATAAATCATTGATATGAATAATAGTAGTTAGATCTTTTCTTCCTCACTCCTCACAAAGTATTAGCCGTCAATGAGAAAAGTCAATAAAAATAATATGGAGAGGAGATGTGACATAGCCTTTATATAGGAAATTATCAAGCCGTCCAACCCGTTTCATTATGACTTAAACTCTAATTAAGGTTTACATATATTTTTAGCCCACATACTTAAAATTATCACATCGTATTAGCTTCTGTTTGATTCTCATTTTTATAAGAATGAAAATGAAAAATATGAGAAAAAGTCAAAAATAATAGTTTAATGTAATTTATAACAGTCATATTTTTCGTTTTTAGAGATAAAGAATGGGAAGCAAACGGGGCCTAAATATAATCCGTAATGCGTAAAATGGTCAATTGATCATTTAATATATTTAACCAAATCAAAAATATCATTATGAGTTACATATCTAGCCCGTAAAAATTCACAATCAAATGGTAAGTCCACATTAGAATTATTTCAACACACATAACATGCTACAATATTGTAATACCATCGGACCGGGCAGATTTAGCTTGATGAAATTGCTCGTGAATGAACAAAGATAAGGTCCATCGACACTTTGCGAGCACGAATGCATGACAAGGAAATCAAATAACAAAATCAGTACACGTTATGCTGTTTCTTGCAATGTTTGTGTTTAAAAATAAGTGATTATTGTCTGATGGTGCAAGTCAGTACTCAAATCCTCAACTGCTTGCAAAGCATCTAACAACATGGGAAAGAATCTGTCATCTTTCATCGATTTCGTATAATTTTCAAACGCTAAAAAGTCCAACTTTTCGTACCTCTATAAATGCTGGAAGTGTCGAAAATTCACATGTTACGGCATTATTGATACTAACGTGCAACATGTTAACGTGCATTTTTACTTATGATTTCACGAAATTTTGATGATTATGATGATGATGATGATGATGATGATGATGATGATGATGATAATAATAAACTCGAATAGTTTTTCTTTTTGCAGAATGTACTTGTAGACATCAGTAATAGTTGATTGTTTCAATTTTCAGAGAGTCCCTTCATTACCTGCTAAAAGCATATACTTCTCTTTCCTTGTAAGGTTTGTGCATTCAAATCCCAAGGCTTTTGCTATCCCATTCTGCACATAATTGGCCACTTCAAACTTCGATAATTCACCACTGGTACACGCGTGGGATTTTGGTAACTTCTCGAGAAAATTGACAGTGTAAATCGTACGAGGATTCAAGAGAAAGAATAGAGGATCTAAAGTTTTGTATCCACTTGCAGTTGTTCCGTAAAACATGCTCACCTTTGAGTCGAGGGCAACTGGAACTATATCGTCGCTCAATTCAGCGAACAAAGGGCTAAACCTCAGCAGATATGGTTCCCTGCAAGTGGTTCCCTCAGGGCAAACTACAATATTTCCATGGGAAAGAACTTCCCCCATTACTTTTAAGTCCTTTGCTCGATCCCTAGTTAGTCGAATGCTTTTTAACGGTGAGAGAAGCTCCGATATTCTGCTTATACTGTACGTAACAGCAATGACTGGTTTCATGAGTGCCAATGAAATGTAGATTGGATCCAGAAGTGTTCTGTGATTCGATACATAAACTACACCTTGGGTTTTTGCCTCCCAGATCGTGGGATCTATGGAACGTCGTCTAGATACCGAACCTACCATCCCGGAAAAGGCCAAGATTGGGATGGCTACTTTGTAAGGTAGAAATGAGGCGACAAACAGCCTAATGACGCTAAGGAGAAAACCAAATGGTAACCATACAAACATAGACAATGTAGCAGAATACGTCGGCCTAAAGGCCAATCTTCCATCATGGAAAATTAATGGCTTTGGATAATTTCCCCGTGGAAGTATTCGCCAGCCCGTCTTCTCAGCTGAAGTTACCAAATATACCTCCTGTCACAATAGGAAACACGAGATTATTCATAGAAATTCCAGAATAATGATCAGACTGAACATTTTGACATAAGACCTGGTACCACCAACCTTGCAATGAGGAAAAATTTGCTGATTAAGACACTTGTTGGCTGAACCAAAACCAACTAGAAGAGGATTCATATTTTCCTGTCCAATTATCTCATTCATAACAATATTCAAGTCTCTCTTTTCCTCCATTAAGCCCACATAATAACCCAAAACCACCTTCAAATCTCTTCCAACAACAGCTTTTACATCCAAACAATCCCTTAAAAATCCTTCAACCATCACATTAGGCATATCACTCACTGCTACCTTTTTCTTGTACTTCATCACAACTTGGAAGCCTTCACAACCGACATCTTCAAGAAAGAACTTAGGCAGAACAGATCTTCCGAGCCGATAATTTGCTTTCTTTATCCCACAGAAACATATTAAAACCATAATCTTGATCCCAATTTCCTTGCTAAATAGACAAACAAATGGATAGGAAAGAAAAAGAACTAGAGCTCGTATGAGGCCACCGGCTTCATACGCCACCAGCATGAAGTAAGGAAATAGAGACGACGACTTTAACAGTGCTTCCTCCATATGAAAGATCAAAGTTGCATCCAAAGGCTCACCTTGTTTATGGGAAAAACAAGAATACTTTTGAAATTTCGATTCGGATTCTTGAGGACAAGTAATTCTCCTCAGTAGAAAATGTGCATGACAAAGGCTTTTGAGGAGAAATCTAAGCCAAAACAAAGGAGCTTTTAGTTTGAAAATATTGACAGGCATAATTTCTTGACTAATTAGCAGGAGTTGGGAGAATTTATTGGGATGAACTTAGAGAACTGTCCTTTATTGCAGTTTCTAATCTGCATCATAATCTTAAATACTTCGGAATTCTGTTGGATTTCAAATTCGTCAGCCTTTTTATGATAGGATTTATGTCACATAATTCGACAAAGACTGTCAACCTACCTCAACCCTCGTCTTTTACTCTAGCTTGGGCACCGATCATGAAACCGCGTAAGCAGAATTTTGGTAGGAAGCTTTAAAATACTATGATTCAATATGCTACATTGTTATCCAAAGTCCTAACTTCTCATATTTTGGCATCTGTGATACCTAACGACAGAAACACCCTCCAAAAATTCATTAAGTTGCCATGTGGATGTGCCAACCCGTGCAATGATACAAGTAAGGGTGTTATATTTCCTCAGCCCTTTTTTTTTTTTTTTTCCAAATAATCCAAAAAGTAAATATGTATAGAGAAAAGCAAAACACTTCTGTCCAAGCTAATGGACACTGCTTTCAGTAGCTAGCCTGTCAGGTTATGGGCAAACAGGAAGATAAAATAAAAGAATAGATAACAAAAAAGAACAACAATGATACATTCTCAAATTTCTAGGCAATGGAGATGGCCACAAACCAGGTGACATTTTAGCCAGGCAAAAGATGGTCCAATATTAATTCTAATGTCAAGATCAAAATCATTTGATAGACTCACTTTAATGCAGAGGAAAGAAATGAAATGAAGCTCGAATGCTTGATGCTTGTGTTTTAACATCGACCCACGGTTATAATAAAATAAGCCCATGTTTGGTTTTGATTAAAATTGAATTTTAATCTAAATCAAAGTCAAACAATCAATATTAACTGCATATTTCACGGGTCTCATAACTTTTCAACCACACATTCCAAAAATTTCAATCACAATCTACTAAAAAATCTAAATTTAATCGCCACCACACATCATGTAGATCTTATTGTCAGTTTTCAATAGTTAACGCAACTTCTCCGAGGATTAGATCATTTAATCGATTACCTGTGAATGTTTGGTTTCAAGCTCACTGTCAACAGTTAGCACGGTTAAGTGCAGTAGTGCAAGTAACTCCAATTATACTAATTGTAATTAAATGCAAACTGTACATAGACATGTATCTAATGTTAAGACTCTCTTGTGGTTTCTATTTGATTATGACGTTGACCCGGGAATTTGGTTCGATTTAAGTGTTGGATAACATGATCGGCATTAATTATGTCTTCAAGGCACTAGAATTATTGTGCTTCCCTAAAAATATTATTCACCCTGACTAATAATGTTAAGTTGTGAAGTATAATTATTGTCATAATTATTGTCACTGTGCAAAGTCTGTACGTAAAATTTCATAGTCGTAATCTCTCTCTCTAATAAATAGGTAACAATCGTTATTGTTTTGTATTATCATCCAAAAATGAGATAAGTTAGAGAAAGTAGGGCGTACGATTTTTCTCTTATTAATTTCTTCTCATCATAGTAATATAATCACACATTAATGTGAACCTTTACGAATTTCTTGTATTCTTAGCTCTCTCTCTCTCTCTCTCTCTCTTTTTGCTCTCGATGGTATATAATTAAAGTTTCTATTTCTAAACAAATTGTGTGCAAACGAAAATCTAGTGACAGAGTACAAAATCCAAAGATAATCTATTTGTACAACTACGAATGACAGTGTGGTTGACAATGTACGAGTTATCAAAAAACTATTGGTTGTAAAAATAAGTTGTTTTTCATATTGTTCAATGACAATTTGTCACATGACATATTGTCTATAAAATTATCATTCATGATTGTATACAAAGCACGATTGTAATTCAAATATGGACCACCAAAGATATTTCAACCGTTCACTAGACTTTTGATATGACTTGGATTGAAGATCAATAATGACAAATTAATTGTCTTACCAATTATTGCAAATAATTAAGTGACTGCAATGTCTACGATTCCATTAAGTTTGGCTATCTTAGGTGAAATCAATTAAATAGGGAGTAGATGGCTATAAAGATTAAATCCCATTGCCGTGCTTCGTTCTGTTGCTTTCCTTGTTCAATTCCTAAGCACCAATTGTTTCTTTTCAGAAAGTTGGGGATGGCTTTAAAAAATAAGAATATATCATAAAGATTTTCTATCTAACCTAACCTAACCTATAATAGAAGAGGCAATGCATTGCAACTGTTCATTTATGTTGGTCTAAAAATGACATCATTTTGCTTGTGTTAAAAATGATGTCGTTTTGAATCAGAACGACGTCGTCGCCTGAATATCAAGACAACATCATATTGCTTAGGGTTTTTACGTCATTTGACTCCATTACACACTTTGAACCCAGGAAGCTTATGAGGAAATATATGGAACTGGCCATTTGACTCAGCCATTTTTCCACACTGATCTTTGACCATTGAAAAAAAAAAAAAAAAAAAGAAAAAAAAAGATAAATGTTATAACAGATTTTTACATACCATTTCCCAAAAATACCCTCATCTTCCACAAACAAAGAAAATGAGAGGAAACAAGAAAAAAAAAATTCTCACGTTTACAGTTGGGATCTAGTCGAGCTCAAAGTACTCACAGTCCACCCAACACCGATCACCACAAAACTTGCTCATTATCTTCAACAAGGGTTTTTCCTTTTTTATTTTAGGTTTAAACTATTGATTTTTCATTGCATGTTTTTTGAATTTGTGTATTAAATTGTTATGTATGATGTTTATAAGATGTTATTTAGGCAGATTTAGGGGTTTAGAATGGTCTACGGTGAAGAAAAAGAGTTAAGCTCGCTAGAAATCTCGTCATTGCCAGCAAGACAGTCGGTGAAAACCAACTCTTTTGTTTTTGTTTTTCTTTTTTTTTTTTAATAATTTTTTTTAAAATTGTTTTAAATTTTTTTTTTCATATTATAAATATAATTTGTTGTTTGATTTAAAATTCTTTTTAATTGTTTTCGTTTTATGGTAAAACATAATTTTTTTTCAATTTTAATTAAATAATATTTATTTTTATTTTTAATTATTTTTTCTTTTTTTTGTTCTTTTATTTCATTTTTCTTCATTTTTCCTTTTTTTTAATATTTCCTTTTCTTTTCTTTTTCTTTTTTCTTTTTCTCCCTTTTTTCTCATTTTGTTTTGTTTTGTCAAGTGGACTATTCGGGCCCAGTCCTTGTTTGGGCCAAAGAGTCGGCCTTTTTTTTTTCTTTTTTTTTTTTTCAATTTTTTTCTTTTTTGCCTTTGCTTTTCTTTGCTTTTTCCATTTTTTTCTCCTTTTTTCCTTTCAATTTAAATTAAATTTTTTAATAACTTTTTTTTTTGTTTGCAATTCATTTAGGCTTTTATTAGTATAGATGTAAAATGAATTTTCATTTTTCGTATAGTAGTTACAATTCGATTCGTTTAATTTTCTAAGATTATGCTTTATTTTATTCTCTTTTGTTCAATATTCTAACATTTGAATTTTTGTGAAATGGAATACCACCTGGATAAGGAGTTGAGACGAATGTTGGGAAAAACTATTTGGAATAGTAGCTTTGATAGTTTCAATATGGTACTGGAGCTACTGGATGACCAGCATGCGAGTATTCTACATCAATATTTCTTCTAGCCCCTATCTCAGTTGAGGGAGGTCCAGTACTTCGGGTAGATCATCGACGCACTACTGTGTCAATTGCTCAGGCCAGTGGACGACGATGCTTTCCACTTCGACCTGGGGGCAAGTTCGTCTCGTTCTTCTTATTTAAGTTTGCCCTGATGACCAAAGTAAAAATTAGGGGCGATGAAGCAACTCGTGATGGTACCCAAAGAAGCAACAAGCTGCACGACGCTTATTTCCAGGGACAGAGGACAGTGATTTTTCCACAGCTGATTGGTGCAACTGGGGGGTATGACCAGATGTTAGACAAACCGCAACTAGGACTGGTCTACATCCTTGAGGGTGTGGTATGGTGTCATCACAAGAAGACGGTGATCGATATCTTCCATTTGGAGATCGTCGACGACATTGATGCTTTCAACAATTATCTGTGGGGACGAGATGTTTTGAGGACACTGTACATATCTTCACCAAATCACCCTCGAAGCCCAAGAGGTCTGGGAGTAAGAATGATACCTATTGATTGCCCATGGCTATGCAGGTAAATATTTAACATAATCAATGTTAAAATATTTTGTATACTGAATTTATATAAAATAATTGTATGTGTTGCAAATCTGGGCATATGAGATTATCCCCCTATTAGGTACCTGCTTTGCTAGGCAAGGGATGACACGTTGTCCTCGAATGCATAATTGTCGAGCATCCCAAGCGGACGGATGTCCATTTGGGAAATTGTTATCAACTCCCCTCAAAGACTCTCATGTGAGCATTATACATTTGTGATTTATATTGTACGTAGCTTTAAATCTCATTACATAATCATTAACTAGTTCAAATGTCAATATGTCAAATTGAAGTCATAACTGATTTAACGTCGTCGATGGAGGATGAGGATCGAGGTCTTGTGTGTGAATTAGTCAGTCCACACACTCAAGACAACCAGATGCCCGATTTGATCCTAGATCAAGATTAGATATGTGAATTGAATATAATTTATTGATTATCGTTTTATATGAATTAGCAATTATTAATTAACTTAATAATTTTTAATAATATTATTTGTGTATAAGCGTGATCTAGTTGATCGATGATTACCTCCGTCGATGCATTATAATCATTTTTTTATCTGTAGAGCGATAGATGATGGCCCCATCGGGAAGGGAAATGTGGTAGAGAATGAGATGATGGAGGAGGTGGCAAGCCTCGAGAAGAAACGATCGCCGAGGCACAGGAGGAGAGAACGTACACCGTTACTGAAGGTAAGAAGCGTGCTTTTGACATGTTGGAGCAGGTAGTCGACAAGAAGTCCAGATTGCCGTCATAGTAAGCCGTCTCTCCCTTCATAGCTGAGACGAAGATGAGGAGGTTCGTCGATGGGGCGTACCCCAATCTTTTTCAGGGGATAAACAATGCCAAGTGGAAAACATACTAGACTGAGTGGAAAGGAATTGTGCCCAAGTAAGTATTGTATGATTTTAGTAAAGTACGCTACGGTAACTCTTATATATTCTTTTAACATTTTCTTTATTTTTAAAGAGCTAGCCGCACTATAGTTCAAATGACGATTTTGGACATTTACAAGTGGTTTCATAACATCACCACTTAGGGAGCTTCGCTTATCGACGATGTAAGTGAAATAATCATATTGTAATTTTTTATGTATATATAATTTTTGGTTTATTAAATGAAATAATTACCTCTTTTTTGTGCTTCTTGATGTAGCACATCGACATAGCCATAGATTTGTTGCACGATCGAGCTGAAATATATCCAAAATAATTTCACATTCATGTCGATAGAATTGAA